TAGTCGGGTACCGTCCAGATCCCGCAAATATCTAAAGCTAGACCCCGAAATCAAGACAGTACATAGCCATACAAGAGCAAAGTATCAGATTTTTCTGCATTCGGTCTCCTGGTTACGTTGCATGTTAACACACTGCTACACATACTCGTTACACTGTACATTTTATAATCATGGACCTTATAAGAGACAGACTAACCCAATGGGCGGGAGGCGCGTCACCGACATGTCGGCAAGAAAGAGTAGGGACGATCTGGTTTACTTTAACACTGAAACATATGGCATTTGTATCACATAACTCTTTTTAATTATTAAATGTGATATGTTGTATAGTGATGAGATTATGAAAACCACGGTTTTTTCCAAATAGGATTTAATATATCTCATTAAAGCACTTTTTACTGCATTTCGCGCATTTTTTTTCACGCGTAATTCTTGTACAAACATCTTTACTTTGGTTTAAAACGGTGAAAACTCTAAGCACAAATTTATGAACTAATTTTGCGTACAAATAACGTAAAATTAAATAAGATTGATAGTACATGATGCTTTGAAATCAATAAGGTAAAATTAAACAAGATCTGATAATTTTTTTAATTTAATGACCATTTTCAAAACTATAATAACATTACAAAACAATCATTTATTTGATTATATCATCATTAACTTATTAACATTAAAGTGGAATATTTATTTTAGTAATTTATAAAATTCGGAGCATAAAATTTTCTGAGCGTAATGAAGGGAAAAAAAAGGTAAAGTAAAATCTAGAAGCACTCAGATTTTATATTACCGCCAAAAGGTACCGTTTTTTTAACGTTTTGTGTGTTACCTATATTTATTGAATATCATGTTCTTCGCCCGTAAATCACATACATTTGAAAACAGCGTATCTTTAGAATTTCCGCACTGGAGATGAAAACTGTTATTTTCCGTACAATGCTCGCTCTGAACTCGTTGAGTTTGTTAATAAAAAATTCGTTAAAGTTTTACAAAATAGGAAATAGATTAAAACAAATTCGAAATTCGGCCCATGTTCGGGTGGAGCATTACATTAGTCAAAATTTGATGGCTCCAGATACTGTCGTTTTTGTCACAGTGTGAGAAACATACATGTATTCATGCAGATTATTCATTATTTATTTTTTTAAATATAATACAGGGCGATAATATTTTGTAACAACAATTTGCAAGAAGACACGGACATTTATAGTAAAACAGCGCAAAATGCCGCTTCGAAACTAACAGCCTTTCTAGGCTACCGCCCCTTTGGGCTAATAAATTAAATTAACAGTAAATAAAAAAATATTATAGTATTTTTACTTATTTACACTTTTTACTTATTTATTAAATAGTATTTTTACTTATTTACACCAATAAAAAGCACAAAAACTGCAAGAGAAAATTGCTTGTTTGAAATTTTCTATTAGTTCAGATTTAAAATAATTTTTTCTAAAAATAGTAGTTACAAATTTCCTTACAGCATAGGAAAAGCTAAAAAAATATCCACGTTGACGTTGATAATCGTCAATAGATAACGACAAATCTGAAGCGATTTCATAACCCCTGGACGTTCAGACGTATGCACCTCTCGGATTACCAGGTGCTTAATGAGAACTATTTTTTTTTTCTCAGCGACAGAATGGACAGCAGACCTTTGGAAGAAAGGTGCAACGAAAACTCCCCTAGTGTGGTTTCCGGTCATAAGGGACTAATTATTCTCTTTCCAGGTTTTTAACAAAACGAGGAGAGAGCTTTGTGTAAAAAGCTTTTGATGCTGTAAACAAGTGAATGTCGACGCATTTTAGCGTCGTTAATTTCTTATTAAGTTTTCAAAATAAATATTTTAAAAGACAACCTGTCTTTTCCTGCACCCAACACGGGTGTTCTGAAGTTACACCCCCCCCTAATCTGACACATACAGGTATCAGTACTCTGACACATACGAGTCGGTCCATGGGGAGGGTCAGTTAACAATAGCTTCATACTCAAAGTGAGGGATTATATACTTAAGATGATAAATGTTTACTTACAAGTTAGGTATGTAATATCGTCAAGCACATTTCCAATTCTGGAGTATGTTTAAGCAGGGAAAATGAATTCTGTGTCTATCTCAAAAAAATCTATTATAATATATATTATATCAGGCATATCGCATCTATTTGAATGATGATGCAAACTTATTCTAAAAATAAATAAAACTACGAAAAGTATGGCGTTAAACAAAAGCAAAAAAAAGTATGGCGTCGAATTGACACCGCATCGAAATGACCTCGTGTCGAAGTGACCACGCGTCGAACCGTTGGCGTCGAAACATTGGCGTCGAACTGACCTGTACCGTTCGGAACATGTGGCCTTTACTGAAATGAAGTTTGGCTACCTCTGTTATATATCACTGATTTTTTATCCACTTTTTCTCACTTTAAACTCATCACACGTGATTTAACTGCGATGTTTTTTAAAAATAAAATGAGTTTAAAAAGAATTATTTCCTATTCCTATCCAGAGAGGCGAACAGCGTCAAGCATTTTCCGATTTTGTTTACAGGTCAGCGTAAAAAACTTCATCATCTCTTGGTTAGATACTACACTATTAAATTTAATTTATGCAGAGCTTTTGAGAAAATTCCAAATATAAACTTAATCCCATATTTTTTCTCTCAAAATTTAGAAATTTTTTGTATTGGATTTTTTTCTTCGAAGCATGCGTAATTCTAATAATTTAGATTTCTTTAAAAAGTAATCTCTGCTTGAAAAGTGTTTGAATTGTGTGATCTACTGGTTGTATGATCTACACATGTTTTCACTTTTTGAATATTCTAGAAAATTGGTGTCCAGTCTTTTCGAGCTTCTTAGCCAAAAACAGCTCTTCCAAACAGCCCTTCCGAATAATTGACAAAAGCTACGCTTTAGTATTTATTAACGACCATAATTTAACTAGTTAATATTTCAGTTTCATAAAGTTACATTTCCTTTCATATCAAAAAGATTTTATCAATAAAAAAATCGCAGCATTTTTAATGTGAACGCTGAATCTGGTTTGTGACATGCAGGATAGAAAAAAATACTACGGACGTCAAACGGTTATGATCGTCCCCCTCACCCCTAACTCTAGTGATCGAGAAAGTAGCCGCATACCCTGCATTCTTTCCATTTCAGCGAACCTCCTCCATTTGCTCATTTTCAGTTAGATGCTCTGGAGGTTGATTGGCGCACTCGATAACGATCTCGATTTTTCTCTCTCTTAAATTTAAAGTGAGCGAATAATTTATTCTTCTACTATTGGATGTTCAGAGACATTTGAAATATCAAAAACTAAGCATCCAGAGGCATATAATTCATAAATTGATTTACATTTTGATTCTTAATTACAGAGCTTCTTTTTGTGTTAGTGTCTCCTAGACTTTTCTGTTTTGGGTTTGAAAGTATTTGTCTGTAATTGATAAAAGTCATATAATGCTGACTGCAAACAGAAGAAATTAAATTTAACTTCTAATTAATGTGTATAAAATAATATCTTGTAAAAGGAGTTATCTTAAGATTTAAATATGAAAATTTTTAAGAGCTTTTAATTTCATGGTATTTATCAGCTTTAAGTTATAAAACTAATATTTTCGTAGACAGATTTTAATTTTTGAAAATAATTCTATAAAAAATAAAATTTGTTGAAAAAAGAAGGTTTATCATATTATAAAGAATTTAATCTTTAATACTTGATTTCACTAAATTTCGATTAAACGGTTTTATTAAAAGCTTAAAATTTCGAAATTAATTTTTATTTTATTCCTTAATGACTAGTAATTTCTTCTTACTTCTGTCATTCTTGAAAATCGTTGCACCTGTTTATAATATGCTAAAGAAAAAAAGAAAAGACTTGACAGCAGCTTTTAACATACTTTGTCGCATGCTTCACATAAGAAAAAAGTTACTACCAAAACGCATGGTTTAAAAAAGAGAGAGAAGCTCGAGACCAGAGAATATCTAAGAGAAGCTCAAAACTATTCTTTAAATATGTACAACTAACAAAAATCTATTTCAGTACACGATTTTTCACACTATATATCTAATAACAATTCTACGTTTCAAGTTCATGGTTGATTTGATACCTGTTGGAATAAGGTAGCAAAGATACTGAAACACAACTATGTTTTCTGAAATCGCAAATTTTTTTCTTAAAATTCATAAACTTACAACCAATAAGATAGTTTATTTTCGGTTTACATGTTTTTATTCAAACAAGGTACCAGAAAGACTTAAATGATTGCTGTTAAAAGGAGACTGCCCTAAATTCATTTCAGTTTATAATGCTTTCGTTCTTTGAACAATTTATTTGTTTCTTTTGGTCTTAAAAAAGGTTGATCGGTTAATTTTTGCAAACAGATATATTCAAAATTCGTCTAATCATTTATTATTTCCAAATTTAGCGTCACAATTTTTGTTCATTTTTCAGTTAAAAGTAGCGACTCACGTAATATCAACAGGATCTGATTTGATTTGCTTTAGTTTATTACGGCACAGCACACTAGGGCTATCCGCATGAGTGGCGGGATGCTTTCGTTTAGGTTTTTCTAAAGGAAACTGGCTCGTATGCACGTTACACGTCAGGAAAACCATGAAAACGTTTATGTAGCCAGCCCGTTCGCCTGGAATCGAACCCAGGTCGGAACGACCTGTGTTCAGCGATTTTACCGTTCGACCGCTGGTATACGAATAACAGGAACTGAGCAGCACGGGTTGGGCACAATAGTTCTAAAGTTAGTTGAGAATTTAAATTACAGTTTTAATTAAAACTGTTACATACGATATTACGTATGTGAATTTTTTCACATTAGTGAAAAGAAATTTCCCACGATTTTTACAAGAAACGACTTAAAAAAGGGGGGGAGGAGAAAGAAAGATAAAAATATCATTATAAACAATATTCTATTTTTGAACATTTAGAACACAATAATCACAGGAAATAATTTCTATAAAATGAATTTTGCTATCGAAATTGTAACTTACATGTGACATTTAGAGTTATGTTGTCCGTCATTATAAAGTTCTGAAACTTGGTGTTTTCTGCTCGACAAGTTATGATCTTCCCGTGATCGGATGCAAGAGGGAATAGGCTCAAGATACTAGAAGATGAATCGAAGTCAGAAGAATATCCGGACACATTGTAGAGACGGAAATTTTTCATCCACCATGTTATTTCTGCAGGTGGTTTAGAACCCCATGTTCGACAATAAACTTCCAACATAGTGCCTTCCCTGCAAGTGCCGTGATTGGGTGTGATTCGGACACCAAGAGGTTTTACTTTAAGATAAAAAAGAAAAATTCTGTAGAGTATACACCAGTAAGCTAGAAAATAGAGTGAAAATAAAATAGCTACAAAATATTTTTATGTTTTTAGCAATCAAAATTCCTAGAGAAAGGATACTAACACGACGATGTTTCAGTTTCTACAAAAGTTCTTTTAAACTATATATTCCAGCGGCATATGCGGTGCAGATGTACATTTATTTACATAGTTAATACATCGCTCGATAATAAGAATGATTAGGCCTACGCTTTCAGAATTATTAGGCGTAACTTTTTGAAGTTCTTAACTGCATTCTTTCTCCGCAAAAAATCGGAAATTATTCCAAAGAGTAAGATTACCTGAAGCACCATTAAACGGTTGGCTACATTAATTTATATCAAATATAGATACACAGTGGATGCTTCCTTTGACTTTGACCGAACAAATTAATTATTACTGCAGTGTCAATACCATATAATTTAAATAACAGTTGTTGTTATTCAACAGTGCAGTTAGACTTAAGTTATATAAAAGCAATGGAGTCTATATTTTTAGAAAAGTTTCTCAACATATTAAAAGTAACACATATTTTTTAATGCTTTTTTCATGCTGATTTCGAAAAGCATATCTGCGTTTACGCATCTTGTAAGACAAATTTTGTGTAATTTGTAAGACAAAGCAAACAAATTTTTGTAATAATTAATGTGATTAAAAAGTCATGTGAAGCTACAGAAACATCTACTAGGATAAAGAAGAGCATATTATATGACATAAGACTGTTAGTTAAAAAATGTTGTAAATGCTGAAAACATATAAATTTATATGCATGCTTATTGAATTATTGGAAATTTCAGATATATTATTTGATGTAGTAAAAATTTTCTTTCGTTGATTTAGGTCCATTTGTTCTTTCCTTTCCATTTATTTTTTGATTTAAAATGAAGTAACACATTTCTCAACTGAAAATGGATACAGAATCTATTCAAAACCTGTAAATTTTCTGAAGAAGAATGTTAAAAAATACCTGACACATACATAGCTCAAGGAAAGTAAATTTAGAAATCTTTAGAGTTAAGAGGGAAAGGGAAAATTTAAAAAGTATAATTTGAAAATTGCAACATACAGCAAAACCTCTCTAAAACGTCGATAAACGGTTCCAGGTAATTCTGATTTGTGGATGTTATAGAATAATGATCTTCAATACCACTGTACATTTATATTCTTAGCAAAATTAGTCTTTTTCATGGGTGGTCATCTCAGACAAGGTTTCACAGAATATATATTTTGGGATTTCAGCCTTTTGAAGCAAAGAGCGTAAACAAACATTATTATTGACTATCCTCTCTTTAAAACATCACATCAAGAAATGATCAAAATCACACAGAATATGATCGTCTTACAGAGGGTCTGCTGTACAGTATCACAGTATAAACAAGGATAATTGAAATACTAGAGGCACTAAGAGCTTTTATCTACTCAGGAAGTAAGAATATAACCAGTTTATAATAAAAGCATAAACGTACAACAATTTTTGCGTTAAGCAACCTACGAGACACTAACATACAGAACAGATCAAGCTGTACGGAAGTGATGAGGAAGGGATCTCCAGTTGAGTTGCGATCCTTCACCGCCAAGCATGTGATAGCGACCATCCAGAGACTCCGTTCCAGGCTCCGCATGACATAATCATTCCTTCGCCTGCCATTCGGAAGGGCTCGAAAAGTGGAGTCGACGATGTTGCCCTTGATAGCCCAGAGAACTTGCAGTGGGCCTGATTCCCCTATCGAACAGCAACAGAAATAAATAAATAAAAAGAAAAGCCTACAGTATTTATATTTTAGGTTATTCAAAATGAATCTGGGGTTTCAGAAATCATTACACATTCTACACTTGAAATTGGAATTGACTTTTTTAAAATTGCTCAAGAAAGCTCGCGAATTTTTTTTCCGGCATTTATTCTGCTTTCAGATGTTCAATATTATAGCTTTTTATTCCGCTGCCCAGATCTATACGAAAGTTGTTTCTTGCTATAATATGTTACCATTAATTGGTTTAAATGCTATCGATGACCTTGTGTTCTAGGTATGGGAGAATTGCAGGTAATATACAGGAAAAATCTTAACCATTCCCATAGCTTCAAAAAGCAAAATCGCAAACTGTTAAGTCAGAGTCTCGTGGTTAAGACAAGAACTTCTAGCCAGCATCGGCCCCAGATCCCATCGTTGATGAAATGCACATTAGCAGTAATACATGTATATTAATGAAAGTGAGACTTACTAACTAATATTACTTTCATTGCTTACCAATCTGGCTATATATAATAACCTTACGTGGAGTTGAGTGCCAAAAAATTCATGAAACTGTGACCTTTATTTTTATTTAATTATTTATTTATTTATTTTAAGTAACTGTATTAAGTACAACCAGATTACATGCGTGTAAAACACTAATCTACTGCAATGCAGAAATTTCTTGATTCGTAAACTGGATGCTGTAAACAAATGCAGGAATATTGAAAGTGAATTTTTTTATTTCCTTTTTATTACAGCATTTCTTTTCCATTTTTCTTTTAATTATTCATTTTCCCATACATTGTAGAGATGGATGCAAAGAGTCCAGCAGCTGTGATACTCCATAACTATAAATAGTACTTGTATCTTGAGGACAGAAGATATGTTTCTATAAATCATAATACAACGGAAAAAGAAATGAACGGAACCCTCATGAGAGTGTTAAGGGAAGATGTTCTACATAGTCACGATAAACACATAACCAGAGAGATAAATTGGTTCTGTTATTAATTTTGTGGCTTCTTAAGAGCTTAAATGAAGAAGAAATGGGAAAGAAAAAATCAGACACGTGAATCTTGTTTTGAAAATGAAAGCCGAATTTTGTTCGAAAGCTTTTGTAATGAACACTTCAAATTCATGAAAGCAAAGTGAATATATGCATTAAAAAGATGAAATACGCCTAATAAAATCGCAGTTTTCCGAGTCAAAATATTTTTATATTTTTATAAGCCTATCCAATTATAATGACTGTCCAAATAACTATATAGTATTAACTCAACATAATTTTTCATATAACTACATGTGGAGTTTACGTTTTGTGAATTTATAAAGGATGTACACTTTTTCATTTCATACATTACTTTCGATAACATTACAAATAGCGTTTATGTATGAAATTAATTTTGACTATGTAGCTTATTAATTACTTATGTAGCTTATTAATTATTACTTATGTTACACTATGTAGCTTATCAATTACTATACAAATTATTGATATTGATAGGCCATTTATGAATTATGCAAATTTTACCTCCGGTCAGTTCGCAAGTTAGCTCCAAATCCGAGCCTTCTTTATAAGGTCCTGCTACATCAGTCAGCACCTTTTCTCTTTCGTATATAGTTAGCTTTGGTGTGGGTGCTAATGAAAGAAAGATTAACAGGAAAATAGTTGCAGTTTTATTACTTTGCAGCAACTTAAAGAAAATCCTAGCTAATAGTGGCATAGTATAAAAGAAAATAGCAAGGAAGTAACTTTTTAAAAATAATTTAGTATGCAAAAACCTTTAACATGAAATTGTAAATAAAGATATATCTTAAAAAAACCGAAGCATGTTGAAGCAAAACTTTTTCAGGACAGTAAAATTCTGCTTCTGATAAACTTTCAATTAATAAATGCACTATCTTACTAAATGAGAGCAGCGGGGAATATATTCATTACAGAAACATCTTTAAAGACAAAAGCGAAAAAGCTTTCCAAACTGAAAACAGATATTCAGGAAAGCGCATAATTTCTCAAAGGAAGTTTACTTGTATTTTCTTTAAATGCAAAATTATTTTGCGCTACTTAATTGCAAAATAAATTATTTATTCAGTAAAAAGAAACTCCAGTCCAGTGCATTAAGTAATTCAGCTACTATATTTTATGTCATATGAATATTATTGAGGGTGAAAAAATGATGAGCTTAGGATTCACCTCTTAAGTTTTACTTGAAAATGAAACAATATATATGTTAATCATCTGATGACCAACAGGAACAGATATCGTTTTCGGCGTATTTGTAATTTTTTTTTTTAATTGCAACTGTAATTTTCTTAAATTTCAACCACGAGGGGTGTTCCCCTCCCATACCGTCCTGCAAACAATAAAGGCACGGCAAAGGATCATTACGTCTCTGCCAGTACGTTGCTCCAAAATGACCTTTTTGGACGCGGTTGAAGACGGTCTAAATAAACTATATTATGTGTTTAAAAAATGTAAATGTATTTAGCAATATGCACCGAATCTCAGTTCGTTACTCCATTCCTTGATGGGTGACTGCTCAATCGAAATTTGGAGAAGAATCAGTCAGACATTGGAGAGATATCTTATGACTTCTGACCTTTTAATATACTTAACACATTAAAAATTAAGGAATTAATAAAAAGGATTATTACTTACCTAGTACTTTAAATTCCACGGTTGAAGTCCTTGTTAATGATTTGTACCAGTCTACTCTGCAAACATAAACGCCAGCATCCTCTCTAGATTCCACATCCACGTATAAGATGGCCGGTATGATGGAGACATTAAACCTAGATCTTAAGCCCAAATCGGACAGCTTACGATGTATTCCACTTTCAATAGATGGAGTTGCTCGGCCATCAACCATATAGAAAGGTTTCACTTCGTCATCCTTATACCAGAATGCAGCTAAAGAGCGATCATCATTTTCCACAGGTGTTAGTGCCGGACATGGAAGTGCTGCTGTAGTTTCCGGGCATGTTTCAACAAGCAAAACCTCTGTTACAAATAAAAGCACATTATAAGAAAAAAAAAGTGATTTATATACAGTCGTATCTCCTATCTACAGATTCGATATCCGCAGTTCACAACGGCCAAAAAAAGTCGGCTGATATTTCAAAATGCACTCCAGATGAAAAACAGCCGATTGCCAAATGTGAATCGCAGCCACTGAAACAAGCTAAGCATTATATTCCCACATAAATCACGACTACAAATTTGCTAGTTCATATAAATTTGCACTTTCTTAACGAATGTAGTTCAGCGGGAAAGAGATAAACATTGTCATCTTCGGATTCTGTCAAATTACAAGTCGTTCTTCATAATTGCACTTTTCTTAAATGATATATTTCCATGACACCGATAACAATTAAACTACAGATAAATGTGGTCAAAACAATTAACTCACCCCCCCCCCCTCACGTGTACAGGTTTTCTCAGATCCGCTTTTAACGGTCACCAGATATAAGCTCGCTGGATAAAGGCGCGTACCACAAAAGCCCACAAAAATAACCCCACTGCGAAAATTGCCCATGTGAACAAATACGCACGCAGATAAAAGCCCACATCAGCAAAAGGCCACATGTTTTTATCATTACAAAATACATGTATATTTTTGGTTGTTATTATAATAAATAGAATATCTGAATCTGATTTTTACTGTCTCATTACTATTTGTTTATTAGGTTTTCTGCTTTCTATTTGGCTATAATCTTCCAATGATTAATCTGAAATTTGTTTATTTATTCTTATTTATTTTATTTATTTATTTATTTATGTTGTATGCCTGGAAATGAAATTATCCCCTTGAAGTTCCCATTATAGCAACGATATTGTCTAAGCCTAATTATAGATAATGTTTCAATATTACAAAAAATGAGGAAGATGTTATTTTATCAAAGAATAGAATAAATTATTTTTTAGTTATAAAATTAGTTTCTTCTATAAATTAAACTATTTCTGTCATTTAATTTAATAGCCCTACTTTTAGACTTTAATAAAATAATAATAATAATTTTAATAACTACGTCCTATCATAAATTAAAGCTATTCTTGCACTCACTGATATTCGTTTATAATTAATAAACACATCTGATAATTTCACAATGATAATTTATACCCATGGTACCAAATGTTAAATGCTAAATTAAAATCCTAATTTTTAAACGTGCAGGAAATTTACTAAACAGGAACATTTCTCTAGTTTTAAAGAATACAACAGCTGTGCAATTTTCCTGAGACATCTGTGTTTTTAGACTACTGAAATATTTGGAAAGAAAAAAAAAAAAAAAAACTATGTAGAAATTCCTTTAAGCACGTTTATTTTTCAATACGTTAAATTTTTTATCAAATTTCATATATATTTCGTCTCTTTGTGTGTGTGATTATGGCAAAGCCTCGATTGCTATCTGCCTAAGGGGAGGGATGCCTTCGTGGAGGATTTTTCCTAAGAGAAACTGGCTCGTTTACACGTTACACATGAGGAAAACCACGAAAACGCCCATGCAGCCAGCCCGTTCGCGGGATTCGCACCTCGGACGGAACTACCAGTGTTCAGCGACTTTACCGCTCGGACGCTGGTGGGCCTTCGTCTCTTTGAAAGGTTGATATAGGACACTATTTTTTCAAGCATACTGTTCAGTTACATATATTGTTTCAATTTCTTCAAAAGCCAGTATGTAATTTCTTTAAATTTTGAATATCGTGAAAAGAGTAATATGAGTCAGAACTGTGAATATTTAATTCCGACGTTTATTTTCCTTTTAAAAATTATTAAAATTAGCAGCTACTCACATATAAACCGATAAAGCAAGGATAAAGATATATTATATTTAAAGTCAAATTTTAAACAAAGTTATGTCAGAAGAAACATACAAAGGTAATTATGATTTAAATTCTAAAGATTAGGTTAGGTTATATTAATTTAGACAAACGCATGAGGGTTATCTAGCTGACGAAAGGTAGGTTTTCGCGAAACTTTCTAAGGAAAACTGACTCACATTTGCTTTATACAAAGAGAAATCCTCAAACACTAAACATTCAGCCAGCCCGTTCATTCGGGCTCAAACCCAGGTGAAACTAATGGTATTCACCGCCCTTAACCATCACTGTGAGGCATAAAATTATAAGGAAATGAGTATTATAACCAAAACTACTATGAACAAAAGACTCACTTGGCCTTTTTAAATAGTTTTAATTAAGACAATTAAGATAAAACATTACAATTAATGTCGTTATAATTACACATTTAGGTTACAAAGTAAATCTCGGGAAACACCATCCTTAGTGTCTTGAGTCTAGTACATCGACTGAAGGCTAAAGTCTTTTTCTTGGCTGGTGTTTATTCCGGCGGCCGCTAGGTGGCGCTCGTTGGGGTTACAGTATGTATTTGGACTAAACTTCTGGGTCTGTTATAGTTACGGTAATTTCAGACAGTATGTAATACTGAATTATCCGGTTATATTTAAATGTCAAAACAAACATTTATTCGCATAGATATCATATAAGTAATTCGAAATATTAAAATCGTTATTTTTTATGCTTCAAAAACATAATAGTATAATATACTTATTACTACTTATTATTATTATTTTACAAAGATGAATGAGCATCTTATTAAAATTTAAAGGGTTAACACTTCAGGGCAAACAAGTAAATGTATTGACTGCTTACAAAAAAAAAAAAAAAAAAAAAAAATTATTGCTTTCAAGAAAAAGACAGAATTTTGGACAGTTTGTGTGCACTTCAACAACTTTGATTTCTGCCGAACAATAAAAGACTTTTCAGATGCAGGATTCAAAATATGGGAGACAATTATTCAAGGAATTATTCAGCACCTTGAGTGAAGCTTTAAATCGGTATTTTCCAAATGAACAACAGGTTAAATATCAAAATGCACTGCAGATTAAAAACTCATTCTCAATGTACAACCTTCGACCATGTGAGCAGAATAGGAAACTTTTATTTAAATGATACCATGCTTCACAGTTGCAAAAAACGTTCAATTAATGCCGTTAGTAGAATTCTGGTGCAGTTTAAAAGCTGAATATCTGAACTTGTCAAAATGGCCATGAAAGCTCTTTTATTAATTGCAACTACATGAAACGGGGTTCGTGATCTGGTGCTTAGGCGTTCAAACTGAGCCTCTTTCCAATAGCATGAAATGGGATTCTCAGCTTATGTATCGACCAAAAGCAAGTACCGCAACAGACCTGATGGCGGACCTGACACGAGAATTCAGTTTTCTAAATAAAACTTAGTATTAAGTATATCTGCGATATTAAAAAGCCGTATCGCTTATTATTTAAATTGAATACGTTATTTTAAGAACTTTTGGCTTAATTTTGAAATTACTTTTTGAAGTAAAGAGTATTATTTGAAATAACTTTAATTTTTGTTGAAAGTAATCCGTTTACAGAATGTTCTAATAAAACCATACGATTGAAGCAAAGCAGGGGTTCCACAGTAAAAGTTAACATTAAAAAGAGTTCCACTTATGAGAAAGATAAAGAAATGCTGGTCTAGAGTCTGTGTTACGGGATCTAAGGAGGGTCCGAGACACTTAGCCGAAAACCACTTAGCCGACGGGATACTTAACCGACACCAGTTAGCCGACAGGACATTTAGCTGACACGGACACTTAGCCTACAGGACATTTAGCCGACAAGGACACTTAGCCGACAGGACATTTAGCCGACACCGACAGTTAGCCGACAGGATATTTAGCGGACACGGACAGTTAGCCGACAGGACATTTAGCCGACAAGGACAGTTAGCCGACAGGACATTTAGCCGACACGGACAGTTAGCCAACACGGACAGTTATCCGACAAGATATTTAGCCGACATGGACAGTTAAAGGACACATAGCCAATAGGACATTTGGCGAAACAGAGAGTTAGCTGTCAGGACATTTAGAGCTACGGGACACTTAACCTGTCAAGACATTTAGTCAACAGGTTACTAAGCCGACAATGACGTTTAACTGACACGTACCCAAAAATTATTTAAATTTACTATGAATTACAAAATTTTTCGACTTACTTCACAAGTTTAATATTATAAGTCATTTTTTTCACCTATCAGTAAAATTTATTTTTCGATTCTTAAAGATCTCATATGTGCTATTAATTATTGTGTTAATTTAGCATTGTTTGATATGTATCGTGCTGTTTGGTGTACATTGGCCAAATTGAAAAAGCGCTGAAATTTCTCGAAAATGAATAAAACAAAACCTTAAAGAATATTTTACTTCTAAATTAAACATTAGGCTTTAGTTTAGGGCTATAAACATTCACCTAAGTAAGCATTTTAAGCAAGAGGCGTGGTTAATAAAATGTTACAGAATTTTTATCTCAAGAATGTCATGAACTGCAAATTATAGAGGTCACAAATAAATTATACCTTTTCTTTGCTTAAAAATTCTTTTTTTTAATTGTTTTTAATAACAAAATAAAATATATTTGCTAAACTAACCCTCACCACTATATGTTTCCATAAAAAGTATAATTCAAGGATAACAATAATTTTTCAAGCGTAATTCTTGTATAAATTTCTTTACTTTAGTAAAACGCTAAAAATTCTAAACGCAAAACTTATGAACTTATTTTTGTGTACAACTAAAATAAAATTAAATAATACTGATAGCATATGATGCTTTGAAACAAATAAGGTAAAATGAAACAAGATCTGATAATTTTCTTTGATTTTATGAGCATTTTCAGGCAGTAGTTTTTAAAATTATTATAACATAACAAGACGATCATTTATTTGATTATATGATCATTAATTATTAACATTACAAGATGATTATTTATTTTAGCAATTCATAATATTCGGAGCATAAACGATTTTGAGTGTAATGAGGAAAAAAAAAGATAAACTCTGGAAGCACTCAGCAATATAATTTTATATTACCCCCAAAGGAGCGTTTTTGTAACGTTTTGCGTGTTACCTTTATTTATTAAATATCATGTTCTTCGCAAATAAACCACATAAAATTCAATTCAAGAACAATATCACAAAATATTTGAAAATGACATATCTTTAGAATTTCCGCGTTGGAGATAAAAATGTTATTTTCTGTACAGGGTTCCCGTTGCTTGCTTTGAACTCGTTGAGTTTGTTAATCAAAACTTCGTTAAAGTTACAAAATATGAAATGGATTAAAACAAATTCGAAATTAGGCCTTGCAAGTGCCCATGTGCGGGTGGAGGATTACGTTATTCAAAATTTTATGGTTCTAAATTCTGTTGTTTTTTTCACAGTGCGAGAGAAACATACGTGCATTCATGCAGATTCTTCATTATTTAATTTCTTTAAATATAATACAGGGCGCTAATATTTGGTGGCAAAAGTTTGCAAAGTGAAACGGGCATTTATAGTGAAACAAAGCAAAATGCCGTTTCGAAACTGATAGCTTTTCTGAGCTGCCGCCTCTTCGGGCTGATAAAATAAATTAACAATAAATAAGAAAACTTATGCAGAACTAGACATAAATTTAAAAAAAATAATCACTATAAAATACTAGCACAATTAATTATTACAGTCAAATACAATTTTTAACTTTATAATAAATGCATAAAAATTATTAAAGTGTTAAAAGTGTTAATCACTATAATGTATTATGAAATATTATTGAAATAAAACTTCTTTGTAGAATATTATGCTTTAATATTCAGATATAATTTTAAAAAAGCAGTACAAATAAGAATTTTAAGCAAAAACTTTCAAAAATTCCTTTTATCAATTTTAGTATTTTTTACTTATTTATACCAATAAAAACATAAAAATTGTAAGAGAAAATTTTTTGCTTGAATTTTTCTATTAGTTCAGATTTAAAATATTACTTTTAAAAGAAGGAGATACAAATTCCCTTACAGCATAGGAAAAGCTACAAAAATATCCAGACCTGAAAGCATGCAACAGCTTTATAATTATTTAGAACATCAATTATGCTAGATAAACATGCTAAATTTTTAAAAATCAATCTCAGTTTCAAAAATAAAAATATCCAAAAATTCTAATTTGTGAAATGAGGTGCTATCACCAGCTTTTTCTTGAAAATTATACGCATACTCCTCCGGATATGGGCAAGGTGACAATCGGCAATAAGCCAAGACAAGGGAGAAAACCCATTTGGGTTGGTCTATTTCTTATAAGGTCCATGGATACATATCAAACAATGCTAAATTAACACAATAATTAAAAGTATATATGAGATCTTTAAGAATCGAAAAATGAATTTTACTGATAGTGAAAAAATAACTTAAATATTGAACTTATGGAGCAGTCGAGAAATTTTGTAATTGATAGTAAGTATGAATAATTATTGGGTACGTGTCAGCTAAACGTTACTGTCGGCTTTGTGTCCTGTGAATTAAATGAGTTGACAATTAAGTGTCCCGTAGCTAAATGTCTTGACGGCTAACTCTCTGTTTCAGCAAAATGTTCTGTCTGCTAAATGTCCTGTCGGCTAACTGTCCGTGTCGGCTAAATGTCCTGTCGGCTAACTGTCCGTGTCGGCTAAATGTCCTGTCGGCTAAGTGTCCGTGTCGGCTAAATGACCTGTCGGTTAAGTGTCCGTGTCGGCTAAGTGTCCGTGTCGGCTAACTGTCCGTGTCGGTTAAATGTCCTGTCGGCTAAATGTCCTGTCGGCTAAATGTCCTGTCGGCTAAGTGTCCCTGTCGGCTAACTGTCCATGTCGGCTAAGTGTCCCTGTCGGCTAAATGTCTTGTCGGCTAACTTGTGTCGGTTAAGTGTCCTGTCGGCTAAGTGTCCGCGACCGATCTAAGGATATCCTTATGACATACTTCATGAGTATGTCACTGGCATCAGTGATCTCTAGTCACTTTATATGCGTAAGATAGATGCTCATGGAATTAAAATCTGGGCACACCATAAATAAGCCCTTTCCATGTATAAAATTTTTACCCATCGTGATACGTATGTAAAGCTTACCAAAAATAGCAAAATTTAATTATATACCTACTATACTTATTTAAGTTCATTATAAGATTAAAAAAAATATGAGTTTATAATTTTTACTTATTTTTATTACTTTTTACGTATTTATTTGAGTTCACGTATTAGTCACTTTGGTTTCAAAGAGAAATGAAAGTCATTCGTGTGTATGGAGAAAAGTTTGCATAATTTAAGCTCTTCAGGCTGAGGCTTTCGAAACATCATGTTTTGTAATAACAAATACGTATGTAAAGTTTAAGTAAGCAGTGCACAGTTTTAATTATATACCATGAACACGTTGTAAGGTGACAACTTAATGAGATCAGATGAAATTGGTCTTCTGTGGAAATCTGTGTCGCGACGTTTGTTTATATTTTCAGAAATACTGCTCTTATAGAATAAAATTCCTCAACATTTTCTTATTTCAGTCTCAATGCCCTTTTTTTTTAAATATTGGCTAGTGCAAATATTACTTAAAATATATCATTTGCGAAAAAAATGGAAACGAGCGAGTAAATGTCTTTTCGTGTCGGATATTTAAATCGTACATAAAAATCTAAGGAATGCAGTAATATATTGTGTGGTCCTAAGTATGTATACAGCTCAGTTTGAATATTGCTACGAAAAGCCCAGCTGCAGTAAGATAGATTCCCCGCAAAGCGGGTTAAGGTTGCTAGGAAGTAGCAGGGAAAGACAGGATTGCAGATTTGGCGCGAAATCGCCCATTTGGGGACAAACTTGACGATATGCTATAGTCGGAGAGAGAACATTCTGGAACGCATTCTTAGCGGTTCCCTCGAGAATGTTCCCGAAGGTAGGTTAAAAGTTACATATACCTGCCTGTGCGCGGGTTATCTTGAATTCAGTAATGTAGTAGTAGTGTTTTGAGTTCAGAGATTAGCTTGAGAGAGATTGACCGAGTCGGAAGCTGTACTTTAGAGCTTTGACGTAAAGCTGTCTTCACCGTTGTAGCCTGAAGGCTGTGTTGCTGATTGTTTCAACATGTTTATCGTAGTTTTTCGATGACTGCAAACGTGTCTTTGGAACTGTCCTGTGTAATACTGATGAATAAATAGTGTTTTGATTCTTTATCAAGTGTTATAATGAATTACTCCAAATCCACGAACACGTAGAACGCAACAATATTTAAAAATTAGTTATTTATTACGTGACTTAAGTATGCATAATTTAAGTTGATATGCTTGGATGTAAATATATTTTTTAACGATTCTGCATGTAATTTTTAAACACACACAAATACATTAAACTTGTATCTAAATAAATGAAGTAAAAAATTTGCTATCACTTACCATTTTGTTTTCCGTAATGTAAACATAAGATGATTATGAAACTCTTAATGCTTGCCCATTTAGCACACAGTAAAGTATACTTCCATAACACTAGGAGAGAGGGAAAAAATGGTTATAAGTTATATTGCGAATACACAATTAATATAATTATTCCAATTAATATAATTAATTTTTCGATATTATAGAGTACAGTAATATTCTAACTAACTGGAATAACTAATAATTCTATTAGACCACGCGCAGATGTTCAGAATTAACCAGAACAGTTTAGGATCCGGGATTAAAAAGTGTACGAGATTTAAAAAAAAAAAAAAAAAAAAAAAAAGGAAAAAAAAGAAAAAAGACTGTCCATCTAATTAATCAGTTTCTCAACTAAATTCATCACTTTTAATGAAAGAATTTTTCAACAATGAACTACATTTGCTTTCTCTAAAGAAGTAGATTCTAGTTGTCAGCAGTAAAGGAACTTCTTGAAAATTAATTTCTTTAATTCATGCAGTGATTTCTGTGAACATAGGAACAGAGTTTCGTAAAGTTCTGTGAACGTACGAACAGAGTTTAATAGAAACCACTGTGTGAATTTTAGATATTAATACAGTGTTTCCTATGAAGAAGGTTTATAAGAAAAATATTATCTAATGATAAATATGCAATAAAGTGGAATCGCAATTATTACAGCAATGATTAAAGAGTTAAAAATAACAGAATATCTTTTATTTCCATTAAATAGGATGCAGAAAAACACTGCGGCAAGATATTACTAAAACCTTAAATAAACCGACGTATATCCGCGAAACTGAATATGCCCATGCGCAAAAGCATCGTGGGTATCAGCTTAGCTTGAGTAAAACAGCAGTAAACATATATTTCATTTATGTACGCGTAATTATGCTAAATATGCGTCTTCTTATATGTAAGAAAACACGAAAGTATTCCTTATTATTTTTAGAAGATTTTGTTAAGTTGATTAACGCTTCAAGTTCTTAAGATGAATTTTTAATTTTTTCTAATTTTTTCTTAGTCAAAAAGAATCATTCTTCAAGAGGGTTCATTTTTTTGTTATTCATTGTCATTTTGTAACCTCACGGCTCAACTAGCGCCACCTAGTGGCTGCCGGGACAAAACACCAGCCAACAAAGACTATAGCAGTCAATCGATGTACGGGAATCATGGACTGAGCATGATGTTCCTCGAGATTTACTTTGTAACTTAAATGTGTAATTATAACGCCTTTAATTGTAATGTTTTATCTTAATTGTGTTTTGTTAATTAAAACTATTTAAAGGGAGTCTTTTGTTTAAGGTAGTTTTGGTTATAGTTGGCGCTCAACGTGGGGCCAACTATAACCAAAATTACCTTAAACAAAAGACTGGTCAAAATACATGAAGCTGATCAAGATAAAACAGCTTTCATTTGCTTATTTGGGACATATAAATATTTGCGCATGCTTTTCGGATTACGAAATGCGCCCGCAACTTTTCAACGCCTGATTGACAAATTTAAAGCAGGCCTAAAGGATGTGTTTGCTTTGTCTTATTTAGATGATGTCATTATTTTATCAGGGAAATTTTGATCAACATGTAAGAGACTTACGAACTGTTTTCGAGAGACTTTCTTTGTTTAAACTCCAGGCTAACAGAGAAAAATGTCATTTTTGCATGTGACCAAGTTAAATATTTAGGTCAGGGGATAACCAGGAATGGAATTGAAATGGACCCTGAAAAAGTATCCTCTATTCAGAGAATCCCTGTGCCAACCAATGTAAAAGAAGTTCAGTCCTTCCTGCAAACTTGCTCATGGTTCAGAAGATATGTTCCAAACTTTGCGACCATTGCAAGACCACTTAGTAATCTTACCAAAAAGGGTGTACAATGGTTTTGGGGTCCTGAACAGCAAGAAGCTTTTGAAGAAAAGATTAATAACACCCCCTGTGTTAAAACAACCTAGATGGATCGAAAGCCGTTTCGTATCCGCACAGATGCTAGCAGTTACGCTCTAGGAGCAGTCCTTATTCAAGGAGAAGGCTCAGAAGAACATGTTATTGAGTATGCCAGTCGTCTGCTTCCGCCGGCAAAATGAAATTATTCCACTACTGAACGTGAGGCACTTGCAGTAGTTTGGGCTCTGGAGAAATTTCGAGGTTACGTCGAAACCCAAGAAATAATTATAGCATCTGACCACAAGCCATTAAAATGGCTTATGAGCATAAAGTCACCATCAGGTCATTTGGCAAGATAGGCTCTTCAGATTCAGTCCTATTATCCGAAAATTGAGTATACTCATGGTAAAGCTAATGTGCTTGCAGACATGTTGTCTAGACCCTCGAATGTAATTGAAGATGTCTCCTGTGACTTATTTGCAATATCAGCCGATTTTCAAGTAAGAAAGTCCAAAGAAATTCGAGAGAGCAGCTGAAGGACGAAGAATTAAAAAAAAAAATAATTGAATGCTTCGAAAGCACTTCAAAAAGATGAAAACTTCGCAAACTGGACTAGCAGAGGTTATCTTATGAGTCGAGGTGTTCTGTATTGTTACTCACCAGAAGTAGAAACAGAAGAAACCCAAATCATAGTCCCTATCCAGGAAAGAGAAAGAGTGCTACAAGAACACCATGATTCTCCAACGGCTGCACACTATGGGGCTGAAGAAACTTACAATAAAGTTGTCTGTAGGTACTATTTTCCAGGGATGCGCAAATACATTTCTGAATATGTTAAGAATTGTCCGGAATGTAACCATTACAAACCGACTAATCAGAAGCCAGCCGGTTTTCCTAGAACTCCAGTTTACGCCCAAAGATTCGAAACTCTAGCTGTACATTTTTTTGGACCTCTTCCATAAACCTCATCTGGTAAGAAATGTTTTCTTATCGTAGAAGATACCAGTACAAAATGGATAGTACAAAATGGGTACCAGTACAAAAATGGGTACCCAGTACAAAATGGGTTTCTTCTGTTTCTACTTCTGGTGAGTAACAATACAGAACACCTCGACTCATAAGATAACCTCTGCTAGTCCAGTTTGCGAAGTTTTCATCTTTTTGAAGTGCTTTCGAAGCAGTCAATTATTTTTTTAATTCTTCGTCCTTCAGCTGTTCTCTCGAATTTCTTTGGACTTTCTTACTTGAAAATCGGCTGATATTGCAAATAAGTCACAGGAGACATCTTCAGTTACATTCGAGGGTCTAGACAACATGTCTGCAAGCACATTAGCTTTACCCTTAAAGAAGCAACAGCTGTCAACTGCGCCGAAACGTTAGTCGAAGAAGTTTTTCTACGATATGGACTTCCACGTAGATTGATAAGTGATAATGGGCCGCAATTCATAAGTGTCGTTATGCAACAAATTTGCAATTTTCTTGAAATTAAGCAAGATCTTATTCCTGTGTATCATCCCCAAGCAAACCCATCGGAAGGTAAGCATAGGGATCTAAAACCTCGACTTGTTATACTGGTCGGTGATGAACACATTTCCTGGGAAGAAAAACTGCCACTGATTCGTTTTTCCATGAACACTACCAAGTGTGAAACTACTAATCACACAGCAGCTTTCTTGCAGTTTGGCAGAGGATTAAGAACAGCAGATGATGTTACCCACGACTCAATCTCAAACGATTTGCCCGTTTAACTGCAGAGATTAAAGATCATGTCGAACAGAAGCAAGACAAGAAAAAATATATTATGAACGTCGACGGCAAAAGGTTTCTTACGAACCATGTGATAAAGTATGGGTGACGTTACATCCTATTTACAGATCACAGAATAGAGTACCAAAAATTCATGCCTAGACGTGATGGACCTTATTTAGTGGTAACCAATCGTTCACCCACTACGTATGATATTGCGGATCCTGCCAAGTTAGATGAAGTCCTTGGGACTTAACGACAGCTCAGCCTTACGCGCTTATGAACTGCCTGTTTCAAGAGATAGTAGGGCGGTAGCATCTTTTCGGAGACGAGGCAGACCAAAGAAACATGTTTCTGGCTCTTCGCCGAGACGTCGAACGAGCCAGAGGGGGGAGTCTGTAACCCACCTAGCGCCACCTAGCGGCTTCTGGGATAAAACAATGAGCGCCACCTAGCGGCTGCTGGGATAAAACACCGGCCAACAAAGATTATAGCAATCAGTCGATATACGGGAATCATGGACTGAGCATGGTGTTCCCCGAGATTTACTTTGTAACTTAAATGTTTAATTATAAAGCCCTTAACTGTAATGTTTAATTTTAATTGTGTTTGGTTAATTAAAACGATTTAAAAAGGCCAAGTGAGTATTTTGTTTATGGTAGTTTTGGTTATAATTTGAAATATTCATTCAATTTCTGCTAGCAAATGAGAAATGTACGGTATGGTTTTAATTAATATTGTCAAATTAGAAAATGTCTGTTCTGCTGTAGTGTTTTTTATTTTAAAAGCTATATCCCAAAAAAATCATTATAATTCTTGATTCTTTTAATGCTTTTAGTCGTCAAAAGATTCCAATCTCTGTCAAAATCGTCATAGCTGTTTTTTTCAATGGCATTCAGAAAATTCAAAGAAAGTGACATTGTAATGTGAAAACAATCTGATTTGCACATTTTAAAATTTAGCATTGTTGAACTTTTTCTGTATAGTATCTTTTAAACTTATTCGTTTGAAGACTTATCTAAAAAAACTCATGGTAGATAGAAAAATAATTCTCATTAAAGTTAGGGGGAAAAGTATTTTTCAATAATATTACGAACACAAAATTAATGCAATTTTTATAACGTGGAGCATAATGATATTCCAATTATCTGAACTAAGTGAAATTATAGACAATTTAGATAACTTTTTTTTTTTTTTTTTTTTTGGTTTGGGGGCGGTAACCTAAAATGCGTATTTATTGCAATTCAAGTGATAGAATTTATTTTTTTTTATTGTACAATTTATCTCTGAAAAGCTTATACAAATGAAAAAATTAAATACTTTTATTTTCATTAAAGAATAGAAAACCTCATTTTTCGAACAAAATTATTTATTCGTTTTAATTTGCATACATCTTAGAACGAAGATGACTGACTACTCAACTAAAATTATTTAATACTAAGTTTTGCACGAAAAGTTCTAAATTTATATTTGCTTTTGTTTCGTCATAAACTACCAAAGAACTTTCAATCTCGTCTGAACTCATTAGGGAAGAACTTCCACTCCCGTCCTTTAATAAATTTTCAACTGGATACTGTCGACTGAATGTATCTTTCCAATTGATGTTATTTGGAACACATTCACGAAGGTTTCACAAAGCAGTATTCACTTTCATGTTATTTCCTTCAGATGAAATTAAATGATAAAAGCAATATTTAATAGAAAATAGTTATCTGACTTTAGAGTTACTACTTTTAGTAGAGAAATCGTGCAAATAAAACTAATATGGCTTCTTAATTTTCATTTTCTGCAGTCAAGGTGGGGTTTGAATGCATTTCTTACTTTCAGAGGCTATTTTTATTACTATAACATGGAAGATAAAAAGTGCTAAATCTATGTAAACGTACTAGAACACTAAAAATGTATAAAAGGTATCAGATCTGGTACGAAGGTACTAGAAGAGTTCTAGAGCAGCGGTCGCCAACCTTTAGAACTTCATGGGCCACTAAATGTATAATTTCTTATTTGGCGAACCACTAAAATGAGTTTAGAAAAAAGTGGTAAATACTTTTATATAATAATAATTAGAAAACTTTTATTTTATTAATGTGAAATGCACCCATTAAAGGTAACAGAGTTATAGAGTAATTATTTAAAGAAATGAAAAATTTAGGTTTATTTAAATATTACACATTTTTAGTGTGATATTTGTTTCTGTTTGTTTGAAATTAGTTTGCGAATTTTTGGTTCTAATGATATCACTGCAAGAGGAAGAGCCACGCTTATTTCAAACCGAGACATGTACAGAGTTTTAACAGCTGTTACAGAAGAAAATGTGTTTTCGCACAAATATATTGCTGAAAATTGAATTTCAATTTTCATAGCTTTTCCACTCAGTGATGGGTAGTCATTTTTTATAGAGGGGCAGTTATGAAGTCTTTATGATGATGACTAGAATTCAGTTTTTAAACTGTCTCGCAAGACAAATCTGTCTGGTTTTCTTTTTCATTCATGCTTAATTTGCTATCTTCAGTGTTTGCTGACAATGAATCTCTACTATCCACATATTTCCATGCCTAGGATCTTCCAGCTTTAGGTAATAAAAACCAAAATATTCTGTCAGTTACTGGAAGTGCTGTTGAATAATGGACACGACTTGCTAGTTGAGATCGTTCTCTCAAATATTTTCATTAAATTTATAAACATTTGTAGATTTTATTCTATAGTATAAGCATGCGTTTTTTGCGAGGCAAAATGTCCCATTGCACAGAAACTGACGGATGACGAAAAAGGTTGAAATATTACGCAGAAATGGCACTTGTTTTAGGTGTTTACAAAATAAGGATCACATCAGTAAATTTTGCGATTCTAACATTTTTTTGCTCTCTTTGTTACTCCAAGCATAAGCATTCTACAATTATGTGGTGTAACAGAATTAATTCCGAGAGTAAAAAGGAAACGATCAAAACTCTTCAGGAAGTTGAAAATAAAATACTTTCGAATCAAAGCAACCGTTCTGAAGTTTATTTACAAACTTTGGTCGTAGGGGTAGCTGGGAAAACCTTAAAGGGTTACTGCTAATAGATACCGAAAGTCAGAACACGTACGTAAGTCAATACACTAATTACCAATAAGTATTTGGACACCTATGCAAATGACGATATCTGTGGTCCTAAGGTACGTCACGGACTCCTCCGGTATATATCATGCAGGAAACAGCATCGGCTTTAGTCGCATGCAAGATGCCTTGCAGTTCGGAGCTCTATGATTTCGAGAAAGTATAATTATCGGGTATCACAAATGTGGCCGATCCTTAAGGGACATATCTAGCGATCTGAAGTACCCAAAATCGACAGTGGGCTATGTGATTAAGAAGTGGAAGGTGAGCGGTGATTGTCGGAATGTGCTCCGAGTCGCCAGACCAACGAAACTGGGAGATAGGGACCGACGAGTGCTGTCCATAGAAATTCGGAAGAACCGGACCCAACCGATGGCCCTCAATCGCGAGGAGTTTCAGCAGGCATCCGGAAGTATTGTTTCAATGAATACCATCCGTAAGGAAGCACATCTGCTTGGTTTTCATGGTCGTGCTGCTGCCCATAAGCCTTTGATCAAAAAGTCCAAAGCGCTGCTCGGTTAATGTGGTGCAAAGCACATCGAAATTGGACTGTAGATCAGTGGAAACGGGTTCTTTGGAGTGACGAATCAAGGTTCACCCTTTACCGTTCGGAAGGCAGGGTCTGGGTCTGGCGTCTACCTGGAGAAAGTCTCCTGCCAGAATGCATTGTGCCAACAGTCAAGTTCGGCGGAGGTGGAATTATGGTCTGGGGGTGTTTCTCCTGGTATGGGCTAGTACCCTTGGTCCCCATTTATGGTAAGCTCAACTCCAATGCCTACTGCACTATTTTGGATGACAATGTGCTTCCTACGTTGTGGCAGTTTTATGGGTTGGACCCCTGTTACTTTCAGGACGACAATGCCAGTTGTCATGTTTCGACGTTAACCAAGGCTTGGTATGGTGCCAGTGGAGTTCATCGAATGGACTGGCCTGCCCAGAGTCCAGACCTGAACCCTATCGAAAATCTCTGGGACGAGTTACATCGCCGAATTCAGGGGTGCACTACCCGTGCAAAATCGGTGAAGCAACTTATATGTCTTCTCCAAGCCGAGTGGAAGAAAATACCACTAGCTGTCATACAAAGACTTGTGGAGAGTATGCCCCAGAGGGTCCACGCTGTAATTACGTCTCGTGGAGGCTCTACCAACTATTGATTTTGAATAAAGTTAGTTTTTGTTTTCTATCACAGGTGTCCAAATACTTATTGGTAGTCAATGTATGCTGCTAGAACGTTAAGATTAGAGACGATAGAGACTGAACAAATTAAACATGGGTTATTTGGAGTTGTAGAAGTTTCTGAAGATCATAACCGTTATCAAATAGATTTAACTAGCTTAATTGAAAGTACAGGTATAAAATAGAAGCATGAGATCTGGGGAAAATTTTTTCGTCACTACCTAAGATCAAAGACTAAATGTTGATTAAAGTATTGGAGAAAAGGGAAATCCTTATCAACGACAATCGTAATCTCTGTTTGTTTCAAGAAAATCCTGAAGCGATTCATATGTTGTTAGGAGCAGACACAGCGCTGTTGTTTACTGAAAGAATTGAACATTTTTCGGGGGATTACGTAGCCTTTGAGACCAAGTTAGTCGGGACTTTAATGGGTAAAGTAAAAGAGAATGCGAATACGTCGACTTCCTTGTCCGTTCTTTACATGTTTACGATACAAATTTGTCCAATCTTTGGCGTTTAGACACATTGGGGATTTCAAGTGAGGAAAACAAAACAAAAAGCGTATTGGAAGAAGAAACCCGAAAATATTTCTTAGAACGAGAACACGAGATAGCTCAGGGAGATATGAGGTAACCCTACCCTTTATTTTAGATAAATCTGTCTTATCCAGTAACCGGACTATGACAGAAAGATACCTCTTCAAAACCGAAAGTAAATTAATAAACATAC